TGGCTCAAGCCCCAAAAAGCACTTAATAATCATAGATTAGGCCCAACAATACGAAAAAACTCGCCCAAGTGTCGTAAAATTCACGCAATAAGGATTAAGAGTTTGCGGCGGGGGTTTCCCCCGCCGCAGCGAAAAAGTAAAGCTCAACAGCCGTCGTGTTGTTTCGTTTCCCTGTAGAGACACCTAGAATATCGAACACAGACAGACATAAACGATATGTAATTTATCAGTCTGTAGGTATACTACATTTAGGTTAGGAGAATGAAAAGGAAACCAATTCAAAATCACGTTTGTTCTCAGTTAAACAAGATCTACAAAAATCGTGCACAAGAAAATCGCAAATCATATTAGTTTTGCGTTGATCTGCATTCTGTATATGACCAGGGCCTGCATTCATGAAACCGTTCTCATGCTCAAACTCGGCGTCTGTGCTCAAGTCAAATTTCTTGTTCCCGTAATCATTTAATAAAAAAACATATTTTGTTAATAAATATGGAAGAATGTTGGAGAAACTAGAAGCCGAATACTGTTTCTGTTTACACTTGACTTTATTATCGTGTTACATGATTTAAGCAAGTAACAAGAAAGTCGGCTTGGGCACAAAATCCAAGCTTAAGCATGAGTATGGTTTCATGAATACAGGCCCTGCTATTTGTAGCTGTTGTCATGACGTCACAATGGACGAGAAAGTCATTTTCTGAAACTTCACTGTGACAGAAACTTCAAACGTTTCAAACTGACGTCATGTTCGCTTAGTTCAAGACTTATCTCATGCTCTAGCATATATTTTGTGCTCGGGCCGAATTTCTTGTTCCCATAATAAAATAGTGAAAAATAGTATGTCAATGATTTAGAAACACATTGAACAGAGTTAAAGCCGAATACTGTTTTCAATGTTTGTATTTGACTTTTTGATCGTTTGGCATGATTTTAGCGAGTTACAAGAAAGTTGGTTTGAGCACAGAATCAATGCTTGAGCATGAGAACGGTTTCATAAATGCAGGCCCTGCTATTTGTAGCCTTTGTCATGACGTCACAATAGATGAGAAATAGTCAATAGGACGGAATCTTTAAACATTTCAAATGTTTTCTTAGTTCAAGACTTATCACTTATGTCTGCTGTCGCTCAAATGATTTTTTCGTCGAATACATCCATGGACTCAGCAATTTTTAACAGTATTCAAAAACGCCATGAGGTATCATTATGATGGCATTATAATTTCATCGTTTGAACAAAACAAAAACTTGGCAGCTATGTATTATCATCAGGTAGGTGGAGTTTTCGCTGAATTATATTACACTAGAGTAAAATAAACGTAATTCTATCGTATAAATAGTACTGGAGTGTCACATTTATATTTGTATCGAAAAAAATCTCGATTATATTGCTGACAAGCCTAGATTTAAAATTTTCCATATTTCCGTTTGCTTATGAAAGCGCATACGGCTTATCTGAATACCATTATACTCATTTCAACTTTAAGTGTAATTGAAGTAGCACAATGAAAAGTGATAAAGATAGTTTCGTCGCTGGGGTTCGAACCTGCGACCCTTGCCTAATGCTCTACCACTGAGCTATAGGGAAATTCCCTACCGCTGACGCTTGTAAAGCAACCTAATCAATGCACATTTTTTCTATAAAATACCAAACTGTTTATTACACTATAACTTGT